CATCCAAAGTCCTGGCTGTGAGAGCAAGAGTTTATATGGACCTGGCAATGTATAAAGGTTGCAGAAGTTCTTCAGGGTTCAAAATGTCTGTCTGAAGGACTTGTTGTTTGTACTCAAACTTGTGAAGTTGTTCAGGACGACTTTGTCAAAGTGGTATCTCTCAGTGTCAGTGGGAGAGTTAAAGAATATGCTCAGGTCTGGTTCTTACACTTTGAGAAAGCAGAAATGGACTGTCTGGCACTACATTCACTGAGGGATTTTCTTCTACCATCATCTATGAGGATAACATTCCTGAGGAGGAATTCTTGTGCCAGGAAAGTCTTAGCTCCATTAATGTATTTTTTTCCAAGGTCAGGAGTTTACCACTTAGATATAACTAGAAGGTAAATCAACAATCTAGTCTCACAGTCCTTAGTGGACAAAATGTGAAAATTGCACATTTCTCAGGATATGAGACTCCCCATAACAATGAAAATGCTCAGTGTGCCTACACACAGAGCATCCCTCCATCTAACAAATGAACAACTAGAGGAAGTCACATTGTTATAGAAGTCTTTGCAAGCACTAGAATTGCATATAGAGACACTGTGTGATATGAATCAAAGGAGAGTCTGGCCTCACTGAAAAGTAATGGCAGCTGGAATAGAAGAACAAAAAGACAGGAGGGAGAAGACAAAATAAGCTTAAAGTGGAGGATAGGGCAGAAAAGAGGCAGTGAAATGAAGATTTCCATACGTGGCTGTAGGCTTATCACACAGTCTGGAGCAACCTGGTGAAGCTCTATTCTGAGCCAAGAAACTTAAAAGAAACCAAGAAGCAGGTAATATGGTGTCTTTAACATGCTCATGCAGTATGAATGAAGGAGTAAATGCTCTGTGGATACAGAAAGCATTTTTTCAAGATGAAGGGACTGAGGTTCATACACCACCCCTCCCCAATGGGCACAGCGATGAGCACTCAAAGGAGAAGCGGTACTTAGTGGCCAACAGAAGGCACCGACCACCTTTCCCGCAACTTTCTACCACCTTCCACATATCCATCTTTAGTGACAACAGTGTTGTCAGTAATACCTAGACACAGACTCCTCCCTTATCTGTTTGCAATTTGGTTATCTGCCAGCCTTCCTCAAAGTTTCTCAATAGGAAGTGAAAGTCAAGTTGACTCCCTGCTACCACACTGGTGCACAGATGCAGCAGTTGCTTCCCTTTTCCCACCAGGGCTTTCATTTGGGTAAGAGAAAGATAAGCTTCAGATAAATGCTGGGAAATGAAAGAGATCAAGAACTAGAAAAGTCAGGAGAAGAAGACCAAAATGTTCATTGATATTACAGTATCGAAAGGATAAAATATTGCCCAAAGACCTCAACTACACCTTGTCCGAACATGAGAAATGCAAGAGGCATCCATCCCTAAAATCCTATAAGCTTCACGATGCATCAGCAAATGACTACAAGTGGTGAGACATGACGGCAGAGGACTTCCCCCAAAGCGAAGAAGGATTTTGTGCAGGAGCA